CTCTCTCTCTCTCTCTCTCTCTCTCTCTCTCTCTCTCTCTCTCTCTCTCTCTCTCTCTCTCTCTCTCTCTCTCTCTCCCCATGCCCACCCCCCACCGCACCACGTGTTTGGTGCGCCCGCAGTTGGGGAGGAGCACGAGGAGGGGGAGGAGGAAGACGATGAGGTAGAAGGAAATAAAAAAAGTACACAGTGAAGACGAAGTAAGTACAAGAAGAGGTAGACGATGAAGAAGTAAGAAGAGGAGAAAAGGGAAGAGGAGTTGGGAGAGTAGGGGCCGTTTCTGAAAGCATGCGTCAACTCAACCATCCTTCAAAACTGGAAATAGATGGGCGCGAAGTTGGTTGTGGGGCAGGCTTAGAAGATGCCTGCCCAGTAGAGGGGCCAGATGGTGAAAGAAGTGCCCCCGGCCCTACAGTCGACCCTCAGGCCCTGGACAGGGGCATATGCAAAATTTAGGGGCATCTCGTGATGCCCCTGTCTTTTAGGGGTATCTGACAAGATACCCCAACTTTTAGGGGCATTTGAACAATTCCCCCTTAGAATTATGTGTGATAATTTGATAAATAAATAAATTAATAAAATAAAATAAATAAAACAAAAAAACTTAGGCAACAGCAGCTTACCTGAAAAAGGAATAAGGACAGGAAAAACCACGCCACACCATAAAGTATCTTTATAGTCTGTCAAGAAGCAAAAGGCCAAAAGGAGAAAGTTAGGGATTGGGTTTTGTTCTTTATTCCCTATGAAAGAGACAAATGGTTCATGCACAAGGGTTTAACAAGTTCACGCATGCTAGACGAGCCGTAGCCGTAGCCAGCTTCATCACGACAGTCATAGCCATAGCCAGCTTCATGCCCATCGCATAGCCAGCTTCACGCCCGTAGCCGAAGCCATAGCCATGGCCAGCTTCATGCCCTAGCCATAACCATATCCAGCTTCGTGCACATAGCCATAGCCATAGCCATAGCCATAGCCAGCTTAATGCCCATAGCCATAGCCATAGCCAGCTTCATCCCCATAGCCATAGCCATAGCCAGCTTCATCCCCATAGTCATAGCCATAGCCAG